TGTGACATTGTGTCTACACTTAAAGCGGGTATTGACTGGTGTTGTGCAAATATCCTAGAGAATAACAAAGTATTAAAATATTATGCCGAAGAAAAAGCCATAATGATTGTATATTACCACAAAATCAAAGAATATTTTTTTTTTCCTTCACGTTCCCCATTGGAACATAGGGCTTCAAGCTAGTTGGCTTGAAGTTTCTGTAGCAGTGTTTATTTTACAGGATGGGGTTGCTAGCCTCATGCCCAACCTTTCCTCTTTACCAGAATTATTTCTGGCTCAGCGAGGTAAAGGAGTGCGTTGGCCGGGGATCGAACCCCGGACCATGTGCATGGTCGGCGAGCGTCCTAACCGGTATGCCACCAACGCACAAATAATATTAGCTTAACACTAATGTATGCAACGTTTTTAAATTAAAAGCTAACTGTAGCTGAAATTCTTACAAGAGGTGTATTTCGTACATAATGAAAACAGAATTTAAGTCGATTCTGCTAGAGAATCAGACAAAAACCTACTGCCCAAAAAGGTGAAGATGCAGAAGGAAATGAAGATGAACTGAACATAAACTGAGGAGGCCGTTGGGTAACACACCATATGCCAGGCCACTTGGTGTGGAACTCGACTGGGGAGTGAAAAGTTGAGCAACCAAAAGTGACATGAAGAAGATACTAAGAGGTGGAGGAAATAAAAGTCTGTGTTAAGTCGTGGAATCACCTGAAAGGGATATCAGAAAACCAAGTGCAATGAAGATATGCCTCTTCTGAAGCCCTACATTTCACTTGGAAGGCAAGAAATGAATAAGAAGACGAAGAAAAGGAACAGAACCAGATAATGAGTGAAGCCAGTGAAGTTGCCAATTGTCCAGTCTCCAGACAAGCAACGTAAAACATCCGTATACGGTTCAGTCTTTCAGGAGAAGCTTAATGTATTGGTTTGACTGCAACTTTCCTTTTTATCCACCTGACCATCTAGAAAAGGTTTGTTGCTCTCATTATGCCAAAATGCTCTGAACATTTTAGACCGAACAGACAGATGTTAATCCATTTTTAAAGCATCCAACTTCAGGTTACTCATTTTATCTGATCTCAATATGAAGTAACTAGAAAGTAAATAAGTGCAACTATATATACGTATTTCAACGGAAAGATAATCCAAACTCATTGAAATCAAAGTCTCAGACTAGATCATGTATCGAAATGTGTTCGAGGCTGTAAAGCAGAATGAATTGTCAAGAGTCAGTTTGTAGACATTTGATTTGATTTTCAGGTTTGATCACGGACGAATTGATATCAGTTACAGAACCATTGAAGTTCAGCAGGGAGTATACTTGGTACTTGTTTCATCCTACTCTAGGACTCTTTATTAGTACGCACCCACCGGGGTTCAAACCCAGGACCTTCCGGTTACAAGGCAAGATCGTAGACCATTCAGCCACTGGGGTTCAATCCAAGCAGCCCATGAATTCCAACTTCTACCGATTTGTGAATTTTTCGCAACCACCAGGATTACACATACACCTTTTTGATGAGTACCGATAAGCTTGAAACTTGAGAGTATGGAGATTTTATGACGTGCTTGCAGTAAAAAGAATAAAGGTTTTTGAGGATGTAATAGGCTGCAATGAATGTTTTCGTAAACTCTATAGTTTAATTACACCTAATCCTATCGACAGTAGGTACCTTCGTGAGATACAACCATTTATTCCATTCATAGATTCAAACGAAAGAAAGTATTAGCGATTTTAAGTCGCAGTATGATTGGAACTAGCGACTCCTCTGAATTACTAGTCTATCACCCTACCCGCTGAGTTACGACACTCGTCATCATCATTTTACCTTCAGTCATCATCACCCTGTGCAATAATTGCAGTCTGCCAACACAAAGCTATCTCAGATAAACTTGTCATCAAAGTACTAGAGGCCAGGAATAGGCTGGTAGGACTTAGAACTCATCAGTAATGCATATATGCTTAAAGATTCATTTTCGCGCCTGAAAGTCGGATCTGTGCCACTCACTATCGAAATCAATGACTGTAGCAATAAAATTTTGCTTTCATAAATGACGCCTTATGGGAATAATTGATGCCAGAATGTCAGTTTAAATTATGAATTGATACCAGTTAGAGAACCAAGGAGTACTGGACAGCTATTTCGTCTTTGTTTGGGACTCTTCAACACTGGATACTTACGACCCCTTCAGGGATCGAAGCCACTGCCTTCAGGTTAAAAGTTGAGCTCGTTGATCATTTAGTCACAGGGACGGAATTCAATGAAATATATCAATAGTAACTTCTGCTAATTAGCTATATATATATATATATATATATATATATATATAGCGCGATCCCCAGCCAATGTCATCGGTCAGCACTTGTCCTCACATCTAACTTGATCGAACTCACTGATCACAAATTCTCAGTAAAACCCCAGGCAACTTCCTCTTGTAACCCTCAGTACTCCATGGTTTTCAATGGTTCTCTAACTGCAGTGAGTTTGTGATCCAAATTAGAATTAATCACATGCCTACAAACCAACACTTGAAAAGTAAGGAATGCAGTTATCCAATCCTGAGTGTGTGTGTGTGTGTGTGTGCGTGAGTATTTGCACATGTGAGCTGATCAAAATTTGTTAGACAAGTTTACAATATGGTTCATTAGGCTAAGCAACACCTAACTAGTGCGCATTTTCGTGCATTCTTATTTCAATGTTAAAAATGTATATTGAAAATTTTATTATTTACTATTGCGATAATATATTTAGACTTGATTATGTACTTTTGTTGAATGATAAACTCGCCACTTGTGTTTTTTTTTAGGTCTACGCTATAAACAATAGACTAGGGAATATTTCATCAGACTTTTTCATATTTCTGTTTTTCCCAAATGACCTTGATCTCCAGATAAAACAACAATATATGCAACTAATAGGATATAAATATAAATATATATAAGTTACGTTGTTTGGACCTTTAGTGACCCAAACTTTCATTATTTAATTACTTTCTAAACAAATTTTATTTCTGAGTTAGCGATGGACTAGACGTGTATTATTAGTTACACCCTAATGATCGAATAAATGAATTTCATTTCACTCTGATTGGACACTAGTTAGTAACTAGTGCAATGTATCTAGTCCTTTGTTTAGTGCAGATTGAATTCTATTCGTCAAGTCAAGTTTGCAATGTGGCCACCATGTCACTAGGTGACACGCCATCACGGTGAAGTTTGAATTGTGGATATTAGATGGTTGGGGGCAATCGGTAGGAAGCCTTGTTTGACCTAGGTTTCGTGCTAGTTAGTACTCACTCGTCAGCAAAGCATATCTTCAAACAAAGGACTAGATACAAGACACTAGTTACTAACTAGTGTCCAATCAAAAGTATCCAATACAGTTCTACAGGAGGTCAGTCGCGAGAACTAATAGCTAGCTCAGTGGTAACGTCTCTGACTGCAGCACTGGATGGCGCAGGTTCGAATCTCAGAAGGAAGATGAGTTCCTTTGAGGTTGCAGATACGCCTTGCTGACAGGTGAGTACCAACTAGCACAAAACCTAGGTCCAAGGCTTTCTTCTGATTGCCTCCAACCATTTAATATCAATAGTTTCATTTCACGTGATAGCTTTAACCCATAGGTAGAATCGCCATATGTGCAAAAACAGACGAATACATAATCATGAACTGACTTCAGTAAGTGAACCAGTGGAAACCAGGGAGTACTGGACAGCAGTTTCAGCCTTGCTTGGGACTCCAGCATTACACACCCATGACCCCACCAGGGATCAAACCTAGAACCTTCAGATTACAAGACGAGATCGTTGACCATTCAGCCACCGAGATGGAATCCAATGACCCATAAATTCAACTTCTGACAATTCATGATATACAGTCCGACCGCTAGCTAATACCATCGACGAGTATTTGTCCTCACACTGAACTCAGTGGACCCTACTGGCACTTGGCTGAAGTCTGTGTTTCAAAACACTTGATTGATTTTAAGGTATAATCCTTCTGCCAGAGAATAATCAAAAGCCAAGAAATATTGGATAGTTATATCTTTCATCCTTTGAGTTGTTCAACAACTTTCACCTACGATCACATGTAATGATCTGGCCTAGGTTTTCTTTCGATGTCACAGGGCAATTACATCATCTTCTATAGTATACCTTTAAATCGCCAATTCCTGACAATTTCTAATATGATCTGACCACCGGAGTTTGTTGTCACTGAGTAACTGGAAATTAGAATCCAACCTAAACATTAAAATACTAACGTATCTGAGGTGTGAGATCTAACGTCCCCTAGGTTCAATCTCTTGTACTGTTGTGAGTTCTCAATACTAAACAGTCTCTAACCAAGTGTGAAACAACTCTACAGTGATGCCTGGCTTTTTGATGACTTCTTAGCTGATATTGGTTCTTGATGGCACCTAAATTCATTTTCGACTTACACGCATCACCACGTAAAAGTAAGGACAATATAAATGTTTAGTGTTAACTGCCGATAATATCGAGTCAAAGCGTTAAGGACTGTCTTTCCTTCTTCTTTACCACATGACTAAATTACCCTAGGCAGTCAACGTTATGGTTACTGAATCTATAAAGTTCATCGCGATCCATCCAATAGATATGTAAAAGAAGATGAAGATAGATTGGACATATACTGACGAGACCGTTGAGTGACATCGTTCACTGGGCCAGCCTTCGAGTGAAACCTGAAGGGAAAACGATGAATTGGGTATGGGGGTCCAAGGGTGACATGCAGGAGATCGTGTGAGGAGGAAATCAAAGCTTACACACAAATACAGTACCAGAAAGGACTGTAGAGAACAGGGTGAAGTGGAGATGTGCTGCTGAAGCCCAATGCTCCACTAGGAACCCAATAGAATGATAATATAATAAACGTGACCCATTATTTTCTTACTGAGCACACTCATCGAATTAATTAAACAAAATTTTTAAAAAGTGGACATATATTGGTTACTAATGAAAACCAACTCAACACTTACTTCAGGAAGTTTTTCAGACAATTGTCGATTTAATACATCTCTTTCTCGTTCAATTTCTGCAAGTCGATTCTGTGTGAATACCAATTGATCTTGTGCATCATGTAAACTTTCCATTAGTCGATCACGTTCATCCAGTATACTTAATAGCATATCTTCAACATTTGTCCCCTCTCCACTAGCTTGTGAATCTCTATCTCCTTGACTCGAATTACCATCTTCTGAGATTGTAGGCATTACATCACACATGGTTGAAGGATAAAACCTGAAGTAAAGAGAAATAAAGCTAAGGAGTTAGAGGTAAAGCGCTACACACCAAAAGTGATCTCTGGATATATATTTCACTGAGATAATCTATGCAATTTCGATATCTTTACACGCTTTAGTTCTTAGGAAAGCATACACCAATGACATAGAAATACACATAACATAGAAATCACAAAGAGAGAGTTGGCTAAGTTTGCCATCCAAGTTGTCTAGTGTTCAAAGTATCTGAATTGACATCAACCAGGGAACTAAGGAAAACGAAAGAGTATTGAACAACTGTTTGATCACGCTTTGGAGTAGTTGCTCGCGGATGACTCAACATAGTTATCATGCCACATATCATGAACTGAAAGATGTGGCAAACTGTAAGTGATCACATTTGAAGACAGTGAGTGACCATATGGTAACATGTGCTTCACAAAAACGTCCACCTAAGTTTCCAAAACGATGAAATCTGCCTTGACATTAATCAACTTTACACTAAACTTAACATTTAAAGCCACTTCATTTCTAAGCCACCTGAAAGTTAATCACCTGAATGGCTTCAACTTACAAGATGGAAATCACAAATAACAGATAAACTGAAAATGCTGGAAAAGGCAAGTCAAGCGAAATATCATCCCAAAATTGCAAAAGATATTTAAAAAAAATAAACTACTCATTTTAACAAGACTTTGAATGCCGTCACTGAAGTAAACCTACATTTATAACCCAAGTGTAGGTAGGAATGCATTTATGACTTGCCGTAACAAATTTAGAAAATCACACATCCTTCCAATTAAACATTTCATTAAACGGAATTCAGTGCTAAAAGGCTGTCTTCAGTCTATCTTATTTTATAACAAATCTAATATCAAGTTTTACAGTCGCATTTATATTCGGTTTATTAAGATGTATCGTTCACTAAATCCTTATGTCCAAGATGACATAAACTATGAATTTGATATTTCAAGGAGATAGAGCAACTGAAAGACTTACTGAAGTGTGAGGGCGGTTGTCACTGCCTGGATGCTCACGCTATGGAAGTTGATTTTTCTTGGAGTACAAGAAACAGAAGACGCTTCAGTGTTGTGTAACTGCAGATCCTGTGGGACAACTGCTTTAGGTTATGTCACACATTGCCTGTGTGCAGTGGTTTTACGAGTTGCCTCCGTGTTAAGATCTTACCGTTAGCTACGAACTACCACAAGGTAAGTTAGAATGTACAGTTTTTGGGTCAATCTATTCTTATGTCCACCCACCTCAGAGCGAAGGAACAGTATAGCCAACTTGTTGGTTATCTGATGGAAACATATTATGGCTATTATATCCATGTTCGCCAGCAGTACAACTTCACCCACAGATCCCCCCCCCCCCCGACATAATGCAAACGATTTACACTACAATAGTAACTGCTTTTAGTCTAACTACAATCCAAACGACTTTCTTGGCATGGTAGGACCTACAGAGACATAAATTCCAGCCAGTGTAGCCCGCTGAGTCATGACGGTATGCAAGCCTGGACACCACGACGTCAAGATAATAGCCAGTGATCAGGACCTGATAATTATCCATATATATATATATATATATATATATATATATATAAATTAAACACGATGTATACATAGACAGCTTATACCTGGTTAGACTAGACAAGGTTCAAAAGATACCTTGCCACTTATGCCTACCTGTACTTATTATATTTTTAAGTGCCTATGTGGGATTGACTGCATTGAAGGATTCAAGCAGGTCCTCTAAAATTGTGTTAAAAAACATAAGTCGACGAAAAGTGAGCATAACACAGCATCATCACACACTTTTGAATACTATATATAGTCAGGTTATTCTTTTGCTTGTAACTCATCTCTTAAAGCAACTAAAATAAAAGCTAAACTTAACCATTCTAAAGGTCTAATTTACTATATATAAATTTACAAATGACAGGAATCAAAACAAAATTTACATAATCTAAATTAATAACATGTATTGGTATACTTTTGTGTAGGATAATGCATTAATCTTCTGTCTGACTTTATATTTGACTCTCTTAAAAAGAATTGGATTGCAGTATTATAGTAGTCACTCAACCACGCACAATAACACTACGCATAAGTACCACTTGAGATGCTAAATACTAGTATATAACGTCATTTACAGAATATTTTCACACTACTATTCTTTTTTCTTTGTGAACATTTGGAGATATAGATCACTAGGCTATGGCAATTTGCACTAGAATAGAAACCATAAATGAGGATGTGCAGCATTACGGCGAAGATAGCTTTAAGGTATAAATAGCACGGAGAGTTTTCTAATCTATAAACATGTCTACGAAATACACCATTTTTAGAAAAGGTTACCCGAATGTCTTACAAACATCTTATCAAACAAAAAACTAAAACTGATATAGCTTCAGCACTACCATCTCTTTAATGAAGTTAATAAGCTTTCGTAAGGTTGAACGCCCTCATTAACGACTTGGTACTGCTGAGAGTAGGTAGACTTCGGTCTTCCTCTCGAAATGCCCTCGCGTGGCCACGCGTCCATAGCCGCTGCCAAGTAAGTCCCATTCACTTCCCTCACGAGGCGAGGGTGTTCCTCACAAAACTGAAAGGGCTAATGCGAAGATCTGGCGCTTACAACCGGACTAGTGGACAGGCTGGTCTATCTAGTAGAACTGCAAAACCCTGACTTCAAACCTGTGGTGTACATGGGCTCCGGAATCCAAATGGATTAAATGGCGTATGAACCTATTTGTGACCCCAGAAACCATGCGAACGCAGCTCCTGACGCTGCTCTACCGCCTTGTGGGCTTCAAGAGCAGCTCATAAGGACAACCACTTACTTCGGTCTGAGCGTTCGGGCAGTAACCCAGCTATCACCCAAACTCAGATTTTGTGTGACGCGTCTTTCGAGGCCCATAATGTACCAAGTCAATATTTTATTTCTTCATGTTATTTAGTCTCATTGTCTTCGAAATGTTATGTAATCTGACAGTGACGAACTTCAAATAATGATGATAATAATAATTCCCCCAATGCTGAGCACATCTGCATGTTTGTCACACCTTAAGTAAACAGCTAATTTCAGATTTATACCACCACATCGCCAGTGAGATAGAAAAAGTCTATCAACATAGGGCATAGTATTAATGCATAACGCTCTAGGTTGGCACTCAGATAAGTAATGAGAAAAATAAAAGAGATTCAACTAAAACTTGTATCTAACCTAAGAACAAGGAAAATAAGTGAAAGCTAATGAAGAAATGTGATACCAAAGTGAGGATAAAGATAGGGAAAGAATTCACCTAAATCATGTCATACAGATTCTCCAGCTGTAGGTGCTGATTGTCACAAGGACTTCATTCAGGCATCCGACATCCTCTTACACAGCTCAGGAGAACAGTTGATGACTTTATACACTAGCAGAGGTATTTAGGTTTACGCTTCCCCAACACCCCTTCACTATCCACCTAATTCCACCTCCACTAACAGCACATTGAGGTAAACTGTGAGTGTGCAACATATGTCCCTTCCACCTTATCTGAGACTGTCCACCGACTCACGCATCCTCCAATGCTAAGAGTTATGCACTAGCCAAATGCCTAACATCATCGAAAATCGAATTTTAACAACCACGTGTTACGCTTGCATAGTGCACACGAAATATATTGATTGCAGAATATTTTACTTGCTTTAAAAGTGATGCAAGCTGTTAGAAGCCAAATAAGCTTTTCTAAGATTTCGACTAAAACCAACTCACTAAATCTACCGGTTCTGAGACAGCAACTGGAATAACCAATAGACATAACTCTTCAGCTTCCTATTATACGATCGGGGTTTCAGTACAAACCCACTTCTGAAATAACTACTTATATTTGGCAGGTAGAAAAGCACCTCAAGTACCTTCACACTATTATTCAAGGTGCATAGAAAACATAGCATCTTGCCAGGACTATAACCAAGAAGATGGGTTAACATTTATTTTCAAAACATGTGACGTTTCAACTCAAAAAATACCACTAGTTAATATGTTCCCACCTATTAGTCATCGATATGATACGTGAGTAAACTTCATCCTAATAAAAAGCTTTGTATTCCAAGTTCTTGCAACGAGAAACATGACATTCACGTAGTTCAATTTATGTTAAGCAAAACCACTCAAAGAAACTTTCAATGTTAGTTATAGGGAAATAAGTTACCAAGCTGCAATTAACTTGGTAGTTTCTATATACATATATATATATACATATATATATATATATATATATATATATATATATATATGCATATGTCTCACCAATCAAGGTGTAGGTGAGTAACAGTCTACACCAAAAGCAGAAAGCAATCAAGACAGTCAGACTATAAAAGTGTATTTAACAGTGAACTAAATTCTTGTTTATTCTCACTCTGTGACAGAAAATAAGCTTTCTAACTGGAATTTTGAAATGCTTTGAAAATGAGTGAACGCACTTCCAATTAAATTTTAGACAACGACTTCTTAAAAGTTACCAAAGACTTGAAAGTGCTTTCCGGTAGGCTTACGAAAAAGAGAGAATGAAAGTTCAGTTCAGTTAGTCTATTAGATGGGAACAGTCAACAAGACAAGACGAACAGATGGAGAACATAAAAGAGATATGTAGTACTAAACAGCTTTCCAAGCAGATACAAAAGACTGAGATGAAACAAGGATAAGTGAGACAGGTTATAAAAACATATGTATTAATAATGACTGTAATGATGCTTTGAACACAATGACTGAAACATGATTATATTGGTAACCCTGAGAAGTGTAGTACATTCCTAAATCAACAACAGTAGTGCTGACGTGATGTTTTAAATATATTTATTGACTATTAATGACTTATATTCTTTTTTTGTCTCACTTTCATCTTATGACCGTCTACGACTGGTAAGGTTGTTACCTTTATCATTTCGTCTACCTCTATCTTGATAACTTCAATGGATCATAACAACTTGGACCACCAAACAACAGCGCTGGACAACCATGGCACCCTAGCACTACTTGAAGACTACACGATCAGTGCTACCAAATACTGAGATATCTAACAAATAGATGACCACCTTACCGATACAGAACCACACAAGAATGTGGCAGTTCAAGATGACACACATTGGAACCCACAAAAGCAGATAAAACAGGTGTAGCGAAACTACTATGAGTGGAGATGCATGGAAAGAGAACAATCAGATGAAGAGTAATAAAGGCTATCAGAATATAGATGATAGAAAGACGTGAAAGTATCCGCGCCACTATGAGTAGATACACCTAATTGCAATGACAATATAACACTTCTTTAAACTAGTTCTCGTCACTGCTTTTTTGTGAAGAAAAATAATTATAATGTGACAAATAGATATTATTCTCGAACTTTTCAGATGCATTTTTATTTGAAGACATATTGTATCTCGAAAACAATAAACAGAATAACTAAAACAGTGACTTCATAGCGTATGTAGGTTACATTTGAACCCTTAGGCATGATTCAATTTTCCGATAGAGGACTACTGTTTTTCTCAACTTGGAGGCAGTAACTGACTTTGGCGATCAACAGATATTGCAACGGACTATCTGTCTGAAAGCTATTTTAAGGTAAATCACACCACTTAAGCCTTCAAAATAGCCACGGTCACTTAAGAAACTGTTGTAATCTGCTTAATCTCTTTGCAAAGTCTAGACAGCCTATAAAAACTAGTGAATACTTAAATGAGATCTACAATCAAATTTTCACTAGAAGTAGCAAAAGTCACTAGTTTTCGAAAAATATTTATATGTAGGAGACAAGAAATCATGCCCAAACACCCTGAAGTGTCAGGAAAGAACTCCCATTTTACATTAAACTCGATTCACATACTACAAGTAGTGACTGACATTAACTCTCCATTCCAAAATGAATAAAAGTGATGTTCAGTACATAACAACTGTTCAATCATCATCCCTGAAGGGTTTAAATTTAGCCTCATAATGATTTAGGAAAATGACTGGTAATTAAATAACACATTTTCACAATATTTGGTAATTTTCAAAAGAAAATATCTAACCACTTTGTTGAATATGACTCAGATGATGTACTAAACTGCTTTAATCTATTGTATATGATGCAACAAAAGACCAGGGATTGGTTGTTTAACCATTTTAATGCTTACATCGATTTTAAGTTAATCATAATTGGTGTCTGAATACTTTTCATTCAATTATGCGTAATTATTTTGATCCTCAAGATAATTATTGTTTTTCTTACATATCCGATAGTAAAAATGCATGTTTACGTCAAGCCATTTGTGTTTCGTTGTTCAAATATAAGCACAAAAAATACTGTACCCTAATGGAAACTTTAGTGTGATATTTGTTGGATCCTTCTAATCAGGATCCTACTCAAGTTTCGAGGAAATTCAAATATAGCAAATAGTCTGGAAACGGTTAGACAGCCATTTATAAAGAAATGTGTATACCGACATCTTAGTTATGATTTGTGGCGGCGTTAAAATTATTCATAAAATACACTACCCTTGTGGATGAACAAAAACACTCTATTTTGTTATGAAAAAGCATATATTAGACAAGTGATATCAGGCTAATCATATATTGTAAATATTTAATAATCATAATTAATAAAATCCACAAAGTTCCCTAATCTAAACATTTAACAAAGTATAATAACGGTTATTATAACTGAATAAAAGTTATAACTAACCTCTGACTTTAAAATAATTAATAATCACACTTATATATCCAAAGAAAAGTGAAAACTCATTTCCACAAATGTGAATTTTTTAAAATTATGCCAATTTAGACGCCATGAGGTATAATGGCTCGTTACTACATTTAAACACCCAAACTAGCGACCTGAATTATTGTGGGTCTGTGACTTACCGTGGCCACAAATATTGCACCCAATTTCATTTAAAGTAAAATCATTATACTCTGATGGTCAAAGAACTAAGACCCTCTAGTTGAAGTTCTTGATGTTGGATAGAGAGTGGTATGAGTGGCTTTATTGCATATCCCCGCTAATTGTAACATCGTGATCAGTTTTTATGCCTGTCTAGCGACGATTTATATTTTATTCATGCTTTTCAAATGAAATTTTGGGTCAAAATTCCTTTCTGACGCATATAATATCGGCTGCGTCATGAACTTTAAATGAGCCACATTTGCCGCAGTTGTGTCAGAAAATATGTCTCCATACTGATATCTGTGGACTGTAATGGATTAAGGATGAGAGGGGCTTCAAAAGTCAAGCTTGTATTTTCCAGTCTTCAAGATATCACGCTAGTGTGTTTGGCCTATTCAGTGGAACACTTCAATCTTCTTTGCTGAGGTAGTTGTTAGCATTCATCGCATAACTATTCCACTAATTTTTATTTTCATATACTCAGCAGTTTTCTTATGATTTCAGGACTTAATGCATAAGCACTATGAATACGGTGTGTGGCACTAATTTGAAGGTGTGTTTAAAACGGAAGACTAAGTCTGTGTACCACCATTAAGCCCACAAGATAGTGTGAGAAGTGATCGTATTGCAACTTGTACATAACTCGTTATAATCCCTGCAGCAGTTGAACTGGTCATGAAATTTTACTGGATTAGATAACCAGGAACAGAGATAATGCAGTAAACTTTTTCTTCAGTATATGTGCGTGAAGAAGTCAGTCACCTTCTTTGCTTCCTTCGACGAAGATTTATTATAAGAATATATGTCTGCGAATTAATCGTCATGTACATACCCCCTAACTTATCCATGGGGCTGCGAGATGAAGATAACAACTCTTTCGTCATAATGGTTGTGACTCAGTGGCCTGAAAATGACCAAAACCAGCAAGTTTTGGTGGCATTTGAAATTTTTCCCCTAGTTAGATTCGGCTACGCCTGACCCAAAGACCAACAGAGCCTCATCACAGTCCGACTCTGCCCAGGGCACGTATTCAAGGTATGGCCATCCCATATTAACTTCTCTAATGGACACTTTGGCTTGTTCAATGGAAGATTTTTTGCAACAGTGGCCTGGCTGGTCATTATGCATCCATTTCCATCCAGTGAATTAACTTTAAAGACCTTGCCAGTTTGGTTAGCCAGAACGCCCCCAATAACTGTTGTAAATATAATCCTCTCCCTATCTGCATACAATCCTAGGAACTGTATGGTGTCTGCTTAGATTAGGGTTGTCTTTGAATCACTATCTAAAAATGTGTCCAATGACTTTTTGACCGCCGCATTTTAGTAGTACAAGTACTAATCCCAGACAAATCTAAAATGCGTTTGGTTTTCACTCCCGCACCTGCCTTTAATTAGTGTAGAATTTGGTGATGCAACTGCTCACAACCCTCGTGGCCACACGAGCTATCAATGTTACACTTGATGGACCAGCGAGCTATTCTGAGACGAGAGTGACAAAGTCCTGTCTCCGTAGCCTTAGACTATCATCCATTCACTAAGCTGTCAGGAATAACGAACATCCAGTGGATATGCTGCCCCTTCTGCAAACTGCTCAAGGTCTTTGATTTGTCTCAACACATGAATCAACCACAACAGACTCCAAAATTTGTGCAGAAGAGGCCTCCTTGCTGAAGTTTGGTTGCCTGTCGCCAGTCTTCCACAAATGTTGTGTAAGTTGCTTGCATCACCAATCACAAACTGTGTCAGTTCAGAAAACTTCAGTTCCCGAACGTTCTCCGTGATGTATTACTCTGTTTTCTCCCATTTCATATGCAACACGGGGACAGTTTCCTCACTATGTATTTCAAAGTGCCCATGGAATTTGAATCTGCAGGGTAGTCAGTCAGTCACGAAGTTATGGAGCAACTTTGTTGGTGAATCTCATCATCGCCATTCTCTATTTTTGGACATTCTGTCATATCCTGTACCAAGGCTCTGTTTACTTCATGTGTCCTTCTAAAGAAAGATTTCAAAATATCGCACACCGTGTGATAACATGACGATGGTGAATGCATGATGTATTCTCCTTTTACGACTCAACTTAAAATAATGCGGCACGTATAATAACTGTCTAACATCTTTCATCTTGAAAACGACATAAAGCCCAAGCTGTTTGATGAATTTCCATCATTTTGTTGGCTGTCCACCTTGGGTGCTTAAAAGCTATTTTTGGAAGCTTAAGATCGGCAATAAAGGACATAAACATTGCATCACTGCTTTCAAACCTTTTCAACCGACCAGTTCTTCCATTAACGCTTTAAACTTTAAACCTTGTACCTCGGATGGCAGACCTACGTAACTACACATCATGATACTCCCTATCAGCCTTAACAAAAGTAACTATAATTGCGGACGTACTATTTCTTTCTTCCTCTCATTCCAATAATCACGAAATTCTAATTCTTGTTTGTTCCTCAACTAGGACCATTCTAGATCTAGTGTTAATACAGTGGCTAACTAAACCTTTGTTGCAGCCACGACATGACGGTGTATCAAAAGGGACTTGAAATGTATAAGCTCCATGTTTTCTTCGTCTGCAGTAGGTCTTCTTCCAGAATGGTATATACTTCCTGTATGTTGATTACTGTAACCCAAGTATTTTAGTTCAAACGTTAGAAATAGTTCAACGAAACCAAGTCAGTATTATCCACATGATTTACAGTGTTCTTCAGTGTGGTTTATCAAGTTTATTGCGAAGTCACACACAAACAAACAATAATACCTGGTACGATTTGACGTCATATTTTGATAAATAAAAATGAAATACGATAAATTTGATAATAATAATGTATATTCTCAATTTTTGTACTCGAGGGACTCCAATTTAGAGACATCATCAATATGATAGAAATATACATGGAGTAAGCATACTTAAAATATTTCACTTACACAGGATATATATGTAGGTGCAAGGACAGGTAGCCTAGCTTTCAAACGGGCCGCCAAGTATCACAAAATTATATTCCAGCAATACCAAAACAAAGTCTGGATTGACCAATTCTGTGTCACTATAAAAACAATAACAAGCCATATCGAAAAAACGAACTTGCTTCAGTAATTCCATCGGGAAACCATACAGTCATATGTTTCCCCCTCATAAGAATGAATTAATCAAACAGCCGTAAAACGCCTGAGAATCAACAAGGATATTCCGAACCAAGTGGAATCAAAACTGTGTCTATAAGAATCGAAAAGCATCAACATATTCCCGGTAGGTTGTCCAAGGGAAATCAGCCACTCCGCGACACCACTTCCAGTTCACTTAAGCAAAAATCTCAGTTGCGAGGCAGCACATTACTGTAAGCCGTGAGGCACAACACACTGGTAAAATGATGCATTTGGAGTAGGAGTGAAACAAAAAACAAGAACAAATGATAGCGAACAAGTCAAGAGGAGGCCTATCAAATATCAGAATGATGATGCTCAGACAAGCGATTAAGAACGATAATTACAAAATCAAAGAAATATCCAGATCAGTATTAAATATAATAAGAGATTTTTGAGTGGTGATCTCTGGATCAACCACACTGCTACACTCACACCGTCCTGTTTTCTCAGAGTAATTATTTTGCCAGACTGCGAAAGCTCTACTGATTCGTCTGTGATCCAAACATACAGGGAAACCCTTTCTTCTGAAAAGCCTGAAGTGTTCAGTGAACAACAGCATAACCAGTAGCTCTGCCACAGCCGTTCTGTTCTTCAAGTACTGCCGTATTTATCTGTTGTTGAGAGAGTTAAAAAGCATAATGTATTCTGAACAAGCCAACTTAACTCTCCACAGAAATTTTCAGCAGTATTTTGCCCGAAACAGTCGCTTGAGAAAATGCGACGGATGGCTATGCTCCATTCACTAGTGATGGGGACGTTAAACGTGTTAGTCATTAGCGGCAGAAAAATTCCAATTCTCACCTTACTAGAAATCACTTCTTCGTCTAACAACCTTCGATTCTTCAAAGGGCTAAATGCCTCAAGGTGACAAGTGCAGCTATGCTTTGGTTTAAGTGAATAGGCAGAATGACTTTTAGGGGAATCTGGATTTTCACTTCACAAAAGCTCAGGACAAGTAATTTGTGAGGTATTCTTAAGTCTGTGGAGTCCACAAACTAGCTGAGACAGAAAAAGTACTGACAATTGTCTTCATGGGTTTTATGAAGGATATGGTCTCAACATATGATGTTTCGGTGCCTAAATTACAGAAAACAATACCAGAGTGAATGAATAGGTAAGGTATGCTATGTGATCCTGTGGGGATCAAAATAATTCATCAGTTTTAAAAAGCATAAATGTCGGAAATTCACCCGCATCTCAAGCAAACAGCGTAATATAAAAAGTTGCTTCCTATTCTGAACTATGTATTCGACAGGAGGATAGTTTTACAATATGATAATGATTATTATACTCCAAGCCAATTTTATTCATTTAACGTGCATTTTAGTCAAACTTGAACAGTGACGATGCCTAGTTTTATACGGTATACATTGCTTCTATTTATTAAAGGGTGTCCTAACTTATATCATTCCATTACACTGTTTTATATATCTTGTGCAATTGAAAAATTGTAAATATACCTACTCCACGTATAAGTATTTAACATATTAATAATGCCTATAAAATGGCGTTCCTTATGTGCGATTAAATGAGAATATATTATTAATAATTGTGAGGCGAGAAAAGACTAAGTTTTGGAGGCAAGGTTTCTAAGTCAAGATGTTTGCAAGCTAAACAAAACCTTTCGTTCAGCCCGCTATGAATATTCCTGTTTCATCGAGCCAACCCTTGCTATGTGGCTCTTTCCCTGTGTAAATATGTGAACGGTATGAATCTGAGCACCGGAATACCAGTTCCATTTCTGAAAGAGTTGTTATTG